CATGCCTGGAATATCGCAAAGTAAGTGATGGAAGCCTCCAGGAGCGCCTGCCTTTGCTCATACAGCTGTAGCTATATGGGCGCAGGGCAATGATATTAACTGCCAATACCCAGCTCTGCTCTGATGCACAGGCTGTGGGCTCCCTCTTGATTTCCTCTCTGAATTGCTTTCCACAGGGTTTTGTGGAGTTTGACAATGAATGCTTCCGGAAGTATGGGAAAGTCTGGGGGTGAGTATTTGTAGGAACCCATGATCTCTTCCTAAGGTAAAACCAGAATCCGTTGAAAGAGCAGGAGAAAAAAACACATTGGGAACAGCAAACGTTGCTGGACCTTCACAGTCCCAGCACGTGGTGATGACAGGGTGCAGGGGTTGCCGATACCGAGCTCTGTTTGCAGACTTGTGCCACTGCCAAGTCCTATGGAAATTCATTTGCATTGTATGGCTATATACTATGACTATAAATATTTTAAAGCATATATAAACGGCTTTATCAAAGCATATAGAAAAGTTGCTATTTACTTAGGGGAGAGTTTGGAACCAGAAAGACAAGTTCTTTGGGTTTACAAAGAGCAGCAAGAATGAGTGTGAGCTCCCACGGGTGAGACAATGAACAGGTCCAAGGTCCAGGGCCTTTCTCCTTTCCTCATCCTCACCCGTGACTATAACAAAGGGCTGTAGGTCCCAATACCACGGCCTGGGCATTTCCTATGGCTGCTACTGTGATAACTTGAGCTACAAACTCACATAGCTTCTGTAATGCAGCCGTTGGTCCCTGGAGCAAATTTTTACAAAACGCTACAAGTTTGGAAAAGCGATCTTTACATGATTGCTTTGGCTTAAAGTCACGGGGAAAATGTGTAGCTCTGCTTAGGCTGGATCTGTTGGAAGAAAGCGTTCAGAAATAGCAGCTAAAAAAGAGACCAAAAAAGTGAATAAAGTTATTATCTCTGAGGATATTTCAGTGCTGTCAGCACGAGTCTCTAGACATCCAATTCAAGACGGTGGAAGGGGTCGAACAAGTTTCCTTCTAATACAGTAATGTGTTTAAGTGTCTGGAAAAACACCGAGAGTCAAGGGAAGAAGTGAAGCCACTCGCTTCATTTAGTATTGACTCCTTTGAGGGACGGAGCCCTACTCATCTCTCAGTGAATTTGGAGGGTTTTCTGCTCTCCTCTCTTCGGAGGTTTTACCATTTACAGAGGGGTGGCCCAGGAGACCTTTTCAGCTCTGATTTCTACATCTGGGCATTTGCTGACCACCAGGGATGGAGAAGCGATTCCTTAGCCCATGCTGCTTCCCAGCTGTCAGCAAAGAGCTGCTCTGCAGCCACGCGGCCTTGTTCAGCCCTCTGCTCTCTCCACCAGGTTTTACGATGGCAGGCAGCCCGTGCTGGCGGTCATGGACCCCCAGATTATCAAAGCCGTGCTCGTCAAGGAGTGCTACACCACCTTCACCAACCGCAGGGTAAGTGCAGGGGCTTTGCAACGCAGCAGTCTCCAAAGCACAAAGCAGAACAGGGAACGAGCACAGAACAGGCTTGTCCCTTTGGAGACTGTGTGACTGCACTGCTGGGATGACAGTAAATGGCCACTATATGTCACTGTTCCCCTGCCGAACCCGAGCTGGGGGCACCCACTGCCCTGCCTGGGGAAGCCGTTCACCTGCTCTTTGGGCGAATTCAGCCCTCACGCCAAGAAATGAGGGGTGAATTTGTCCATCCAGGTGAGCACGGTGACCCTGGAGCTGCCTAAGAGGTTTCGAATACCGACCTGCAGCTCCCAGCCTCAGCGAGGGCTCCGGCTGTGTCTTGCAAGAGCAGCTCCAACACATCCAGTTGCTTCTTTCGGAAAAGGAGCTGGTGTCTCTGAGCTGCTTCACTGCTTTTACCCCTGGAGAATCTGAGCCTTAAAAGAGCCTGTTTGCAAGGCCCTGCCAGGAATAACTCCGCGCTGAATTGCACATGGCATTTGCACCCTTGCCAAGGAGCGTGCAAATATCCTGTCCTGCGCAGGGCTCTGACCTCACCTTCCTGCTTGCAGCCTGTAGACCTGGCAGGGGTGCTCAGAGATGCTGTCTCGATAGCTGAGGACGAACACTGGAAGAGGCTTCGTACCGTGCTCTCTCCAACCTTCACCAGTGGGAAGCTAAAGGAGGTAAAACGCAGCAAATGAAATGGGAAAATCGGGAGACCGGGCGCTCGCAGGCTCAGATAGTCACAGGGTCCGATTTCTCTAGTCAAAACTTGGTGCCTAAACTGGCCTGTTTAATTTATGCCTCCTAATGTAAACAGGCCTCCTAATGTAATGTCTTTAATTTAAGACTCAATAGAAAGATCTTATTTGTTCATATTCATGAAACTGGCTGCCATCTTTTGTAAGCCTGTCTTGAAGGAGTAAAATGTACCGTATTGAAGCAACTGGCTCGGGCTTGTTTTGCAGATGTTTCCCATAATAAAGCACTTTGGGGACACCTTGGTGAAAAACGTCCAGAAGGAAGGGGAAAACGGTCGGCCTATAGACGTGAAGGAGTAAGTGACTGCTAGGAGCAGCGGGCTACATGGCAATCTCGTTAGCAAGTGCTGTGGTTCATTCGTTATTGGCAATACAGGTTGCTCTCTTGCTAAAGCCAACTTCTGAAAGAAATAGCTGGGCTAGATAAAAGGCTGTCTGGCAGTCTCCAAGGGGAAATATAACATGGGATGTTAGCAAAGCCTCCTGGAGGCAGAGACCCTCGAAAGAGTCTTCTAAGGGGATTTAGATGAGGAGAAGGGTGCTTGAGCGCAGCATTGCAAATCCCTGTAGGAAAATCCAGTTCTCCTCATGATTGCCCAGGTTCTCCGCCCTGCCTTGGTACACACGAGATTCCTAATTCATACGTGATTCTGCAGGACACTTTTCCATCACTTGTCCCCGCCAGCTGGCCTCAGCCAAGGAAGGAAGGCTGAATGTGGCCCAGGTTGCCCTTGACCACCTGCACATTTCACCCTAGTTTCAATAGTGGAGGTTTGGAAAGGGTCCTCCAAGAAGCTCACATGCTCGAACCATGCACTGGCCTTGCAGCAACCTGTTCATGCAGCCACGTGCTGCTTAATGGCCCCAGAAAGATGCTCTGGGGCAGTCTGAAACTGCAGCTTTGCAAAAAGTCTTTGATTATAAATGCTTCCCCAATGCCATATATCCAGCATCCTTCAAAGGAGGCCTTCTGAGAAATTATTTTTTAATGGGACACGGGCATTATTCATGTATTCCAAATATTTAACCACAGCCTGTCTTTTCTCAGCATCTTTGGAAGCTACAGCATGGATGTTGTCACTAGCACCTCATTTGGCGTGAACATTGATTCCATGAACAACCCCAAAGATCCCTTTGTCAGAGAGATGAAGAAGCTTGTCAAGTTTGACTTTTTTGATCCACTCTTCATTCTGCTATGTAAAGGACTTTTTATTTTTAATCCTAAACTTCATTTAAGTATTGGGGAGTACCATAAAGTTGTGCCTTTAGGAAGGGTATCAGACTGGTGCATCCTATCCATTAGTAGATCAGCTCCTACTAAGGAGTTTTACCATTTAGGATGGAAGTCCTGCCCGCTCTTGGCTTCTCATTTCCCCACTGTTAGCCTCATGCTAACAGTAGAGAACGGAGATAAGCTTGGAAGTTGACTACTTACTATTTTTTATCAATAATCAAATGATGCGAGTGAAGCTTAGTGGGCTGAGCTATATAATTTGGTTAAATAATCATGACCCACCAACAGTATCTGGTGTTCTGCCTGAGCTCCTTGAAACAGCAATTGAAACATCTACTGCAAATACTTGAACCTTTTAACCTAAAGTACTGTAAGCTTTTTTTTTTTGTCCCCTCTTGTTTTTTTTATTAAGGAAGGCTACTAAGCAATATTTGAAAAGCGATCTCACTTCCATACACAGCATAGGAAAAAAATGCTATTAAAACTCCTGCTAAGCCTTTGGTGTCTGTAATGCAAGAACCATGTGAATTGTACTAGCCAACATTTGAAGAAGGGCCATAAAAAGGTCCTTGAAAAACAGGTTCAAACATGAAGCTTAAGGAGAGCAGTGCTATTCAAAATGTGCTTCCTGAACGAGCACACTGAGTGGGACCAATAATTAGATGCAATTTCCTAGCAGTGGAATAGTTTAGCAGTGATGGTGATCAACCTTAAATCACTTACAACCTTAAATCAAGACTAGACAGATTGTTAAAATGCAGGGGAAATTCTGATCTATGGGGAGAGGAGGTTCTGGTGCTGTAGATTTTATGAATTTCTAAGCAAGCTCAGGATGCAGCCTCTATACTGAAAGAAATGCTCTAAAGAGGGCTTGAAGCTATTTGTATGAGTGTGATGTGGCAGCAAGTAGCCCAACCTGAACGAATTTCAGAACTTTAAATATTTCTGTTCCGAGCCACATTCCTCCTGTAGTGCTGTACAATGCACAGAGGTGACCTGTCCTCAGAAAACAGTGCCTTAATATAGCAGATAGCATATACTTTGTATGCTTTGGTTGTCTTTTAAATGAAAATGATGCCCAGTTCAGATATGTCCAGTTCACAGGAACTTGGAAGAGGGTTGTGTCAAGACAAACTAACCCAAGGAGAAATTAAAAAAAAGGGGGGCACATCCCAGGTGAAATAAAAAAGGAATCAAGAAGGAAAATAATTTATTGAGAATGTTACTACTTCCTTGCCAACAGCCACAGGGATCTTATGAGATAATGTTTGCTTACAGTATGTCACTTCATTCTCAATTTATTTTTCAGTTGTTTGTCCATTCCTTGCTCCCCTTCTTTCCAAGATGAATGTAAGCTTCTTCCCCAGTGATGCTGTAGATTTCTTCATGAGGTCTATCTCCAAAATTAAGAAGAATCGTGAAAAGGAGATACACCAGGTAAGATAGCAGGAACCTGCTTGTGGCAGAAAACGTCTTCTTTTCAATAAGCTCAAGTGAAAAATAGTTGAAGTGACAACATCAAAGGTGAAGTCCAATGACTCAATGACAAAGCAAAGATACTTAACCATAGACACTTGATAGGAATAAACTCTCACTTGACCAGAGGAGCACAATGGACTTCGTACGTCCATGATCCTAAGCTAAATCCCAATGAAAGCTCAGGAGAACTAGATTAAGCTTGGGTTTGCAAAACTTGAAATAAATCAACAGACTAATACACTGATCTTCCCTGGAGAAGATTAGGCAAAGAGAGGGAAAAGAAAGAGTAATACGATAACGCGGGGACAGGAGCACTGCCTTTTGCAGGATGGCACCTTCCCTTCTTTCATTTCCCAAAAAGCAAAGGTGCTTCCTGGCAGAATGATCTCTCTTAATTTGGATTCTTCTTTGTGAGGTTTATTTACAAAATGTGGCTCTCCAAGCCAATGTCTTCATAAAAAGCACAGATAAGTTTCCAAAATAAAGTGCAAGTGTTGGGTTTTACAATCCCAAATGCACACATTTTGGGGACCTCTCAGTCTACAATACAGAGTTCAGGCTATTAAACCTATTTATTTGAGCTGTCCCTGGCTTATTTATCACAAAAGAAACCCTCCTGCTTTCCTTCTCAGGGCAGAGTGGATTTTCTGCAGATGATGATTGAATCCCAAAACTCAACCACTCGCAGCAACGACGATGCAAACCACACCTATAAAGGTAACAACCTCCAGAAATGCGTGGTGGGAGCAGGGGTGGAGGAGACCATAGGTAGATGTGTTTCCTAGAGAATAACTACCACCCTCTCCAGAAAGAGCAAAAAGTACCAACTAGCTCCAGGTAAAAGTCTGGGCAGCCACAGCACAGCCCTAAAATGGCTGGAAACCCACCCTGTTTCTTGCAAGGATCCTTAATTCTATTTAAGCTTCGTCTGTTCCCTTCCCTCACAGGCTTGACTGACATGGAGGTCCTGTCCCAAGCATTTATTTTCATCTTTGCTGGGTATGAGCCCACCAGCAACACGCTTTCCTACCTGGCATATGAACTGGCCACACACCCCGATGTACAGCAAAAACTGCAGGAGGAAATCGACTCCATTTTGCCCAAAAAGGTGAGGCAGAGATCATCAACACCCAGGTATCTTCTTTTTAGTTCAGGCAAGACAACTCTTTAACTCAATATCCTCCCCTGGGATCTTACAGAATCTCTTCAAGTTATGTAGGAAACTTCAGCTCAGTAGGGATTTTATTTTGGTGGCTGTGGACTCACCTCCAAGAACTTCTTTCAGGGGTACTACACAAAACTGCAGAGAAAGTATCATGACTCCATTGCAGCCATGACTCTACAGCAGCCTCTCTATCCCGTCTTACCTTGGTTCATTTCAAGCTTTTTGATGTAAGCTAAGTCATTTCAGGACACAGTGATCTCAGCAGTCATTTTAGGGAAATCTAATTGTCCCACCTGGTCATCTTTCTCCTGTTGCTCAACAGGCTCCGCTCACGTACGATGCAGTGATGCAAATGGAATATCTTGACATGGCTGTGAACGAAACGCTCCGGCTCTTCCCTCTTGGAGGACGACTCGAAAGAGCCTGCAAGCAAAGCATAGAAATCAAGGGCGTGACCATTCCCAAAGGGATTGTTGTTATGATCCCACCCTTCACCCTGCACCGCAACCCCGAGCACTGGCCAGAGCCGGAGGAGTTCAGACCAGAAAGGTACCACACACATAATGAAAAGAAAGAAATATCACGCTGCTCTCTCTCAGATACAGCAATTAATTCTTAAGTATTAGCCTCTAATTAATAGGCACCTAATAGTGGCTATTTTTCCTTTCCCAAAAAAAACCAGCTTGAGAAGTTGCCCAGTCATGGGAGAGAGGTTTTTTTTTTTTTTTTTTTTAAGGACATGAGCTTTGTCTTTAAGGCAGGATTTCCAACATAGGCTTACTGGGAGACTGAGCCTGGCACCTCACAACCTCTTGTATGACATTTACAACCTTACACTGACGTGTGCCTGGAAAAAGAGAACTTTTTATAACCATAACTACTTGCAGTAGTTAATAATCCTCAAAGCTGAGCCTGTTTCATGCAGGCTTTACTACGAACACCAGCACTGATCTCTGTTCTCTGAGAAGTCGTAACTTTTCCATAGTCCATTGCTTTTGTAAATGGTATATTCCTCTCAAGGTTCCCATCCAGGCCAAAACCACAGGCTGCTCTCTAAAAAAGTAAACAGATAGGTTAAAAACAGAGCTTTTTCATTTCTTGCTTCCTTCATTCTGTTTTCCCCAACACATCATCAACCAGGTTCAGCAAGGAGAACAAGGCAGATATAGATCCGTATACGTTCCTGCCCTTCGGAGCAGGTCCCAGGAACTGCATTGGCATGCGCTTTGCTCTCCTCATTCTCAAAGTGGCCATCGTCATCCTGCTGCAACACTTCAACTTCCGTACCTGCAAGGAGACTCCGGTGAGGAACACCTACCATGTTTCCAAACTCATATTAAAAAGCTGGGTGACTTGGTCATAACTTGGTAGTACCTATGGTTAATGCTTATTAAGATATACAGCTTGGCACTTTCAAAGAAGGTGGGTGCCTCTCTCTAGCATGAAGCAAGAGTTGCAGGTGGGTGACAGTGGGACCAGGGGAAGCTCCAGGCTAGGAGTACATTTAATGGGCCTGATGCCTTCACAAAAGGCTGAAAGAACAACTCAAGTCTGCAAAAGTTTATTTCTGTGGATCAAATATCCTGTCCAAACCAAGGCTTTTTTTTTTCCTCCCCTCTAATGATTACATATTGTATTTGTGTGGCTTTACATGGTTTTTCCCCTTCTCTTCATGTTACAGATCCCTCTCCAGCTGAGTTCACAGGGATTCCTAAAACCCAAGAAACCTATTCTTCTGAAGTTAGTCCCTAGGACAGAAGCATAAAATCCAGTGGATTTTGCAACAGTTCTCCAGAATCTGATGGATCCTGCACCAACAAGGGTTTGCACACCCCGGGAAAGCTCTTGCATACACATACAGAAGAACAGCTTTCATTAATTCTGGAAGAAATTACCACATATTTATTCCAAAACACAGCTATCAGCAATGTACTGGGAATTGCTGGGTAGTAACAATGTGCAACCTTCCTAGTTTTGATTGCAGAAAATGGGAAATAAATCCAACTGAGGAACTGATCAGCCACTCACTTCTGTGAGACTTCTCCACCTGGAGAGATGGTCACATCCAAGAGAAACAAGGGGTGGTGGAAACGGAAATCACTAGACCTAGCCAGGCAGGGATGGGGATGTTCTTCTCTGGGTATTAATGCTTGGGTGTTAACGTGATTGAGCCGACTGGTGTGAGACTATATCCTAGCTACCAAGCCCCTTTTGCCATGTGTTAATTAAACTGAAGTGTGTACAAATACTGTCATTAAAAGCGTTCGAGAGCTGCTCTGTGTATAGCAGCTGAGTGCTTCCTATTTAAAACACATATTCAGCCTCAACTCTGGAAATTATCTGCGTACATCACTTTCCACTTAATTTAATGAATCTGATCCTTCATTTAACGCCATCAAACCCTCGTATTGGTAAAACATTTTGCAATTAGTACAACTGCCACTGCTGAGTCTGACAAGGAGGTTTCCTTGAGCACAGCTCTTAAGAGCTTTGGCCAAAGGGCCGTACGTCCCAAACACGTAAATGGGAAATATTAAGGCAGGTGAGATATCCTGCTTTGAATTCCTAGCACCACTTTACACCAGAATCCGACATCCCATACCGATGCCTGAAACCCAAGCGGAATGCTGGTAACATGGGAAAGATCTGGAAAGCAGCCACAAGAAGGACCGAGTTAAGGGTAAGCTCCCAGCAGCCTTCCCCCCAGGGCATGATTTCCAATCCCCTTCTCATCAGTAATAATTTTCTCCGATGGCCACAATGCTTTTGATAACAGAAGTCTCTTTAGTCTAGCAGAGAAAACTACACAATACGAGCACCACTGTCTGGCACAATAAGCATTTATTTAAGAATTAAAGCCCATTCTTTAACGATGCCGGTACTTAACAGGGGGAGCGGTCGGCCAGCTGTGCGGGAGATTTGTGATCCCTGGGAATCCTTAAACCAAACCCATCTTTTTTTTTTTTTTTTTTCCAGAAAGATGCGATAAAATACATTGGGCCTTAATTCAAGAGTTAGCAGCTTGTGCTGTCCCGCAAGGCAGATAAAACAATTATAGTGCTCCCTGGTGATTCGCAGCCTGTGAAATATTGTTGGGGTTCTGCTATATACAGAAAATGGTGCTATGAGAAGTGCTGCCAGTAGGGCCCTCTCTACTGCTCATCTCCTCCAAAGGGTTAAAAACTCACAGGGAAAGAACTGGGTCTATCCTGTGGCTGTAGTGCTGCAGCATCAGCTCAGATGGGGAAGTGTGATACCCCTCCACGGGAAGAGGACTTTAAAAAAATAAGGTCTATCCTGTGGCTGCAGTGCTGCAGCATCAGCTCAGATGGGGAAGTGTGATACCCCTCCACAGAAAGAGGACTTTAAATAAATAAATAAATAAAAATAAATAAATAATAATAAATAAATATAAAAATATAAAAAGGCAGCATTTTTCCTTACAAAAATAACCCTCTGACAAAACTGACCCCAAATTCAAGTAAAAGGACTCCGTCATAAACAAGACACTTTCAGCAAAGACCACCTATAGGCCAAATAGCTGCTTCCAAGCAGAGAAAAGCCACTTTGGTATCTCCTGAGCAAAAACAACTTCCCACGTGTGCTCAGGACAGCAAGGGGTTAATCCAGCCATAACCTAATACAGGCAATTCCTATACAGTGCGTGGTGTCTCTGGGAATGAAGTCATTAGCGTAACTGTATAGATCCTTCATTCTTCCAAATATGAAAAATGTGAATAATTCTCTGGCATGAGCCAATTATGACCTGCCAGGACTATCATAACAGCCCATAAATAATATGTGTAACAAAATCATGATAATGAGTCCTCGAGAAGAAAATTAGATCCTCTGTGTCTTAACTGCATAAAATTACTTTGCTTATATAGGGGGCCTCCATCATTCCCACAGCTTTCCGTTGCTTCACCGCTTCAGCAATCCCTCAGACCAAGGAGAGGTGTATGATTTGGCCAGCAGTCTATTAGTTCTTGTAGCTGTGCATTCATCACATTCATTAGCACTATCTAGGTTCAAAAAAAAAAAAAAAACCCTAAATAAATAAATAAATAAAACAGCACACACATTTGAGGACCAGGATGTTTTCACCGATTAAAATATATTTGTTTCATATGGACATTTCCTAACTGTTGAGCTTTTCAGTACATTATTGACAGGCCTGGGACATTGCATTGCCCCAGAGTAACTGGGCTTTCTGTACAAGAGGATCACTCTTGCTAACAAACACAGCACAACCACAGAAGTTAATTTTGGGCTTGCTTCAGTTTCGCTTCCTTCTTTAAACCCCTCCCAGATTCCAGGAAAAGAACAAAAACAAACCAACCACCAATAACAAAAACAACATCTAGCATTTTAAAATCATCATTTAAAACCAGCCTGACCAGTCATTCGGGATGATCTCTATATAAATGCAGGTGTTTATACCCCATCTTCCTGAAAAGCTTCCTGAAAAGCTTTCCGAATGAGATATATATCCTATGATATGAGAATTGCTATTATATCAGTTCTGATGAGAGACAAGAATGGTTATAAGTGGGGAGATTTGTTTTCTGTTTCTCAATTAACTGTAACAGAGTGATCATCAACATCACAGTAACTTGCCTAAATGATACAATTCTTGCAATTAATTGCAAGTGGGTTTCATGAAAAACAGATTTCCTGCTTACAGCGAAAGCAAAAATATTGTGTGTGCATCACCAAGTCAATTATTAAGTGTTTCAATCATCAGCCTCAGTCCTGACACACAGAGGAATGACCTGACTCTATTACCAAACTCAGTGTCCTTAAAGTATTGAAGTCTTGTGCAATTCCATCTTGCCTGTAAAGTGAAAAATGAAATATTTTCTGCCATATTTCACCTGAAAAAAGGAATGAGGCAGTGTTGCTCCTTCCCCCGCCTTCCCTGTTGATACACAATTTCTCTATTGATACACTGGCATTGGATGCCATGGGCTGAAAGAAGGTTTATAAAGGAAGAAAAATAAGAGAGCTGGAACACAGAATTTGTTTAGTTCAAACAATCCTTTCTTCCCATCTCAATCTTACTATTAGAATTAGCAGGCCTGGAGAATTACCAGGCTGTGACGGATAGTTTGGAAATGGGGGGGGAAAAAAAAACTGCAGCTGAATTTATGCACTTACATCACCTCTATCTGTTGTAAGGGACAGAATTAGGCATATTGAATTCCATACCATGCAGATATAGAATCCTGAAAAACCCTTACCATTGCACAAATGTAGACAGGATGCTTTATTTACTACATCATTAAAGGTTAAAGAGAGTCTATCATCTTCTCCAGAGGATTCATTTTTTCAATCCTTAATATCAATTAAAGCTAATTTCAGCTCTACCCTAATGATTAACATAAAATATGGAAAAAGCTCTAACTGAGCATTTCTGTTCATTACTTAGAAATTCTCCTGGACTGCGAGGGCACTTTAGAGGTACTGATGCAGCTTTATATCACCCATGACACAATTAATTTTACCCACAGAGCTTTATTTTGCCACCTCTTCTACTGTTCAATAACAAAGATGCACTGAATACCCTCAAGGATGTGGATCATAGATTTTATTTAACCAGTCATAGTTCACGATCAGTGGATGTTCTCCATGGGCTTTCCTACCCAGCTCAGGCTCTGCAAATACTCAGAGACTCACTTTATTTCACTACATGACCTGCAGCCTCCCAATCCTATATATATAGGAGATTTATATTTTTTTCAGGTATATAGGGGTATTTGATAAATTTGCACAGTTGGAAATTTTCAGATGGAGTCATGAAGATAATATCTGTCCAAGGGAATATAAAAAAAAACCTCCCTTACCACTTACTAACTTAAGGCAGTCCAGTACAGCTGGATGTATTACCCATCTATGCTTGGCAAAATACTAGTTCCAGCAGCACACCATGAAATGCCAAGAAAAATACCAGGCTGTGGTCCATGCCCTAGACTATGTTGGGCTTTTATTCAGGCCAGCTCTGGAGGCACAGATGCTACACAGTCCTAGGGCTCTCTGGTTGCTGTTTTCCCTGGAATAGTAGGTTATTGGACTGGAAAACACACGTATGGAAAATAGCTCACACAGACAATCATGAAGAACAGGGCGAGAAGAACAAAAACTAACTTGCCCCAGGCTTATCTAACCTTTTCAGAAACTTATCTCTTGCATACTAATTTAAAGGTATTTCTTGTTAACAAACACTAATCGGGGATCGATTTTGATTCAAAGGTCACCATAAAAGCCACAGGGAAGGTGAGGAGCAATACAGATGTTCCTAAGAGAAGGTCAGATGCTGCCACTCAGACATCTCTCTGGTGGTAACCAGATGTCAATCAACCCACTAGCAGCCTTAGCAACATGTGGGGAAGTGATCAGATGCCTCATGAGCCCAATAATTCTGGCTTGGACTTCAGCAGAAACCATCAGGACATAGAAACAAGGAAAATGCATTGGTATATCCTCTCACAAGAAGGGAAACTCACGGCCCTAGTGGCTTTTCCAATCCTGCATTCGGGAATCTGTGCTGGGCTGCATCACGCTTCCCAGAAAGTCCATTGAACCCACTTCTCCCTTTTAATCCTCCTTTCGATATTGCATTTTTTTTCCTCTTTCCCATATTCCAATTTTTTGTGTTTAGCTTTCAATCACTGCAAACCCATTCGGCTGGGAGTGAAACAGTTCTCTGTTAAATGGAAGAGCTCCCTAATAAAGTTTTAATGGAAGATATTATTCCCGTTCTTTACA